GCGGCGGCTGCTGGCGCAGGCACGCGAGTCGGCGACGACTGCAACACCGGAGGCGATGTCGGCCGAGGCTGCGGCGCTCGGCGAGGTGTACCGACGCGCCGCCACCGACGGCGAGCTCCTCGAGGAGGGTGTCGAGCAGCTGCTGCGCCTGCTGCAGCCGGGGCCGGGGGCTGTCTTTTGCGACCTCGGCTCTGGGCGCGGCGAGGCGCTCCTGCACGTGGCGGCGCGGGGGAGGTATCGCGGCTGCATCGGTGTCGAGCTGCTCGAGGAGCGGCACAGCACGGCGGTGGGCTCGCTCGCCGCCGCGGTGGGTGACGGGCTACTGCCGTCCCCCGTGCGGCTCGTGCGCGGCGACCTCACCGAGTTGGGGGCGTGGGTGGAGCGGGAGAGGGCGGAGGCGGACGGGGCGGAGGCGCCGCGCCGGTGGAGCGGCGAGGCGCGGGTGGGCCGCGACTCGTGACTCGCCCGTGGCACCGCCCGTAGGACGGCGAGGATGGCGAGGCGGTGCCGCTGCGCGACGTCAGCCACGTCTTTGCCTGCTCGGTCTGCTACGACGACGTGCTGCTCCGCTCGATGGCGACGGCGCTCGGCGACGTGCGGCTCTTCCCGCGCTTCCAGCTGCTCGTCTCGCTGCGCGCGCTGCCTTCGCAGCCGCACCTCGTGCAGGTCGGCGAGGTGCAGCTCGTCACCTCGTGGAACGGCGGCGCCACCGCGCGCGTCTACGTGCCCACCGACCTGCTGGAGCGGCCCGACGACGCGTTGCCGCTGCCGGCCCTCTCGCAGCTGCTCTGCTCGGGCGGCGTGTGCACGCTGCCATTGGGACTGCAGTGGCCGAGGGACTCGATCGTGCCACTGCCGCGTCTTTGACGTCGGGGTTCGCCTCCCTTTTTTGTAATGCTCAATGCTACGCGATGCAAGCATCGGCTCAAAAAGAAAACAAAAATCCTCAAGGGGGAATTAAAGGATAAAGCAAAAATAATTCACAAAATTCTTCAATGTTGACACGGACGCGCAAAGGCAACACGCAAAAAGAATTTTACACAAGGAATTCGAGGTTCCGCGCACCGCGGCGGCCGCTGCCGCCGCCCACCACTGTGTGGAGCGGACGGACGTCAAGAAGACGATAAAGGACGGCCGCGAAAGTGCACAGCGCAGCAAAACCTGTGTGGTGGCGGCGTGTGCATCGGCGTTTCTTTCTTGTCGCCTGTCGAGCCTGCTAAAAAAGAAACAACAGACCACCAGACGAGGATTGGGGGAGGACAGGTTTTTACCTGCACGAGCAGGATTTTGGAAGGACGATAGCCTGTCTGCTGTGAGAGAGAGTTGCCATTTTAAAAAGGGCTTCGATCGGGTTTAAAAAAATCGCCGGCGCCTCCCTGCCGGGCATGCTCGCGCTCTGCTTCGGCCCTCCTAAACCCACGTGTCTGCGGCTCGCCACTGCGCCGCTCATGAGCGCCGTGCCAGAGCTGATCATGACGCCCGAGATGCTCGCCAAGCGGCAGGCGCGGCAGCGGAAGCGAGAGAAGGCGGCGAGTCCAGAGGGCATGGCGGCGGCGGCCGCCGCCAATTCCGCCGAAGTCGAGGCAAAGAGGGAGGCGCGCCGGGCGCGCGACGCTGCCGACGCCGCCACGCTTCGCAAGTGGGCCGTGCGAGACGGCCAGGGCAGTCCGTGTGAGCTGATCGACATCGGTGCCAACCTCATCAAAACCAAGGGCGACGGCGCTGTAGAGGAACAGCTCCAGCGGTGTGAGCTGACTGGCGTCGGAGGCGTCATCGTCACAGGCACCTCGGTCGTGGACAGCCGCCGGGCGCTAAAACTAGTCCGCAGCACTGCCGCGCACGCAGTCAAGCTGTACTGCACCGCCGGCGTGCACCCGCACGACGCGAAGAGCTGTGACGAGGAGACAATCGGCGTGCTGCGCGAGATGCTTCAGGCGCCCGAGTGCGTGGCGGTGGGCGAGTGCGGCCTCGACTACGACCGCATGTTCTCGCGGCGTGAGGTTCAGCTCGAGTGGTTCGAGCGGCAGGCTGTGCTGGCGGTCGAGCAGGGGATGCCACTATTCCTGCACGAGCGCGACGTGGACGCAGACAAGGGCGCGCCGCTCGGCAGCGCCGCGGACCTGATGGGCATCCTCGACCGAGCGGGCGTCCCTCCCAAGCGGGTCTGCGTGCACTGCTTCACCGGCGGCGAGGAGGTGCTGCGCGCGTATGTCGACCGTGGTTATTATGTCGGCCTCACCGGTTTTGTCGCGATGGAGCAGCGGGGCGCGCGGGTGCGGGAGTTTCTGCGCGCCGGGCTCTTGCCGCTCGAGCAGCTGATGCTCGAGACGGACAGCCCCTTCATGAAGCCCGACAAGGCGTCCCTGCCCAACGTCAGCCGCCTGAAGCGAGGGCCGAATGAGCCGTGCAACATGCCTGCCGTGTGCCGCGCGGTCGCAGAGTGCCTGTCTGTGCCGGCGCACGAGGTGGCGGACGCGGTGGCGGCGAACACGAGGACGTTCTTTGGGTTGGGGTCTGGAGTGGGGTAATGTCGCATTTTCCTTTTGGCTTCAGGGGTTCCCATTTGTTTTTCTTTTTATGGTTACCTGTTGTGTTAGTGCCACGCAGCGCACGCCAGAGAGCGCCGGCCCGTGCCCGCAGTGTGTTGTGCGAGCCGTAAACACGCAAAAATCTTTTTCTGGCGCCTCGAACCGACGTCCAGCGGCGCGCAAG